CGTTTCAGAATTAGACGGAAGATAAATATGTTTGTCTTTAGGCCACAAAGCACCACTGTTCATATTTCATAAAAGAATGATCAATTCTGTCTGATCGTTTGTATTAATTTCTTGCTAGCCTTTTATTTTGATGGTCCATTTTAGATGCTCACACTTGGGCTAACCTGCATTCAGCTAACCTAAACCTCACTTTAACCCTAACCTTTATCCTAAACCTAACCTTAAGCCTGGTCCTAACACTCTTTGGCTTTCTGTAGATGATATTTAACCCTACATTCACATTAGCAGGCGACCAGTCACTCCTTTTTAGAGATGAGCAACAAGTCAGACTGAGATTTTCTCAACTTTGTGCAAATTAATTGTGAATCATTCTAAGGCCCAGTCCTATTTCACGCCTCGCCTCTACCACTTAGTCCTCAGCACTCCATTTTGCGTGTTCACATCTAGGGTGTAGGGTGTCCTGATTCTTGTTGAGATAGAGTGGGTGAAGTGTTGGGGCTACATGACCCTCCAAACAGTGAGTGTTATGAGAAAAACTGGCAAGATAGAGAACAAGAGACCAAAGAAACCCTCAAATGTGAGAATTTTCTCTGTTAAAAAATTACAATAATCATTGTTTTATCTTAGTTTAATGTCGTTTCAGTGTATTTTGGTCCTTTTCTTCATAACAAGGATACAAAAATCTGATGTAGTGCGCCGATGTCTCGGTAGCTAGCTAGCTAACTTTCCCGTTCCACCTCAAATAGTGCAGCAGTTCTGATGCCTGAGGCACCAGAATGTAAGTGCTGCACCATTTAAGGTGGAACGGGAAAGTTTGAGCAAGAATCTGGTGAATATCTGACTTCAGCTTCATATCACTGAAGAATTAGGGGTGGGTGATAATAAATAATTGCCCCCCTCTTTGAAGATCATATGATGCCCTAAATGTAACTAAAGCCCAGCAGTGAGGAGCTGAACTTTACCCTCCTCTGCTGTCACTGCAGACTGGCAGGGTCGCCTACAGAGCAGCGCTGGTAGCTGTTAATGAAGTGATGTTTTGAGGGTTCTCCCATTTCATAGGGCAAGATTTCGACCACTACCCCTTGTAACTCCATTCCAAGGGGTTAGTGTGACACTCAAAAACAAGGGGTAGTGGTAAAAATAAGGAATGGGACTGGGCCTAAATAATTATGTCCAAGAAATTCCTCAGACCAATCACTGCTGGGTTGCCCATCGTCCCCAGTCCTTGCTTTTAAACTTTTTCCTTCTAGCTTCTGTTTTCCTAGCAACTTTTCATTCCCGTTCCTAAAAGAGTCATGAAATAATGGAAAAGAAACATTTAAACCTTATAAATTTTTAAATATATAACCGCAGTTCATATATTAAGCAAACAGCACTACATATGTAGGAGATTTTACATTTTCTTGTCAGACAGGTCGGAGATAATCTCATGACAACCATGAGAAATTTTGAGCTAAATGTTGGGGTTCACAGACATTTTAGTGTGAGAACAAACAGATTTCTAAATCAATCTAATACCTTGTGAAGGTGGAGTTCAAAGCCAGAGGGGGGTGGTGCGCTGCTCAACATTATCCAATGAACACCTTGCTGCTAGCACATGTATGTAATGTAAGTTAGCTGAAAAGCCACGCTGCGATACATGATGTCTTGATTTCTTGGCAAATTAAATTATCTCAAATCTAGCCGATATATCTGTTTCTTATTTTGAGATTGTCGTAAGTTTATTATAAGATTATTTTTACTTGTTATAAGTAATTTTACTAAGTCAAATGATCAAACTATATTGGCGTATGATTTTGTTGGCTGTAAGAAAAATGCTTGAAACAAGCAAACATACTTGCCAATCTGTCAAAATGAGAAATATTAGAAATATCGACTAGATTTAAGATTATTTCACTTGCCAAGATATTATTTCTTGCAGTGTAATTAAGTGTGTAGATGCAAGAACATGTTATCAATTGACAGAGCATGGACTAGAGGAATTTGACGGCAGGTTTTAGAGAAGGAATCATCACCTCTTGCCCTGCGGGACCAATCAGAAGCCGGGCAGTGTGCACACCTACACATGACAACGAAGATGGCCTTGGACACGCCCACAAGAGACAAACTTTTGTGATGACATTTGTGACTTATCGCCTCCTAATGTGAATATTTAGTAAAGGACCATTAAAATAAAGTTTTGATTAAAGGTTTTTAAATGAATAAATCTTTTTGTCTTCTGCTGATTTCAATCACACCCAATTCCCAAATTTGCCTCCATCATGTGAGGTGAAAAGAGGAAGAGCTTACTTGCCTTCCTTCTGCTGTGAACTCCAATCAAATATAAGATCTAGAACACCAGACTAGCATCATTTATATCAGCAAGAGGAACCATCCCATTCTTTCTAATTAAATAAAGCATGTCTGGTTGCACTCTTCTGGATCCCTGACCACAGATTGGTTATGGCACTTGGATCAAGTGGTCAAGCTCAATTTGGCACTGTAAAAGTAAGGTTCCTCTTAGTAATCAGTTTTCAAGATTGTTGGTTTAACACAGTTGAATTCCAATGAGCACCCCAGGCGATCCCAAAGATTTCCAGCAAGGTATCATGTTCATTAGATATCTCGGGCTCTTCCTAGGGCATTCATGGGATGATAAACAGGTTGAATTGGGTTAAAAACCAATAACCTTGACTATTAACAGGAAAATTACCATGTTCTCTCAATCTCATGCAGCTTTAATTATCCTCCAACGATGAGTGAGCACACACTAGAACCGAACCTGTGTGAATACCGTTAATAAAGTTAATGTTATTAAGGCTAATGTGTGACCAGATCTCCTCAGGGCACTGTAACCTCAACTCTCAGCTCTGAACTGATTACTCTGTTTTCTGTGAAACTACCTTCAGGTAATAATCACTGTTTAGCTGATTAAGTTGTGTTCGTGGCTCCTGGGCTGAAAAACGAACCCTCCAGACTCTCTCGCATGGATCTTACAAGCAGAGTTTCCCCCGAAATGGATCGCAAGGGAACCTTGGCTGTTTTGATTTCGGCCGCGTCAATTCTCAATTACAGCGTATTGATCCTGCCGCTTCAGTGATGTAGACTTTTACTACATGGACGCCTGCGGTGGGGGTATCACAGTGGGTTTGGGATTTTTAAATGCTGAAAGCTTCGAATACGCTTGTCATGTGAGGATCAATATCATTAAACAGGCTGGAACCTGATGGCACTTGGTGTTTTCCGAACTAGGGCAGTGACTTCACTATCAAATGTTGGCCACATGCAGGAGGTTTACAGCAGCTCAAACGAGTCAACAGAGCTGCCAGCAACTATCCTAACTGTCCTAATTCTGCTCCAAAACTGGTAAAGCGAGAGTCCGGTTTGTGAAGCCTATTAAACCCTATTGATTAAAAGAGTGATTGTGTCACTACGGCCGGTCCCGTTACATCAACTCTGGCATCTTAGTTTAGCCAATCAATTAGCATAAAGGCCATTGCTTCCCGCCTCTACGGCCTTTATGCCATCCGGAGATCTTACGGTGACTCCAGAGAGTAATGACCTGACTGGAGAATGCACACTTAATTATAATCACATTTTCAGTGCAGGCAGTGTTAATAATATCAGCACTTTCACGACCCCATGACACCTACCCTACAAAATGGCTAATTAATTTACCCAATTAAGCTGGACATAGATACAGTGGCTTAAAAAAGGGAGACATGAGGATTAATTACATTTCCCCGATCCCGTATACCTACTCATTTACACTGTGGCTAGCCTCAGTCAACAAAAAAATAAATAAATAAAAAAATAAAAAAAACAAAAGTAAAGCAGACATTGAGTTACAGGCATAAGAGAGAATGTAATCAATCAGATCAAGTGTTTTTGGGATTTAAAAGGAGAGAAGGATAGGCATTTTTACCCAATCACATTCAGGGCTAGTGTTACAAACACATTAATCCTAGTGGTAGACAAAGTAAACAGTAAAAAAAAAAAAGACTTTTCCCCCATTGACATTGTAATTTGGCTTCGACTTGGCTTAATCAATATCCTTGAATTCAGCCCTCAGAGCGCAATCACCTGGAAATTATACATATCAGAGCAATGACTGGAACATAGTATCTGTGTTAGGATGCACAAATGCAACGGTATGTGACCAGCAAGCCTAGCGGCACTCTGGCTAGACCTATATCTGATGCTACATCTAGCTGCCGATTGTAAAGGCCTGAACTCGTCTGGCAGATCGCCTCCACATACCAGAATCCTCGTTTTAATTCAATTTTCATCCTCCCAAATCCCCTGCAGACCTTCTTTCTTCTGGTAACATTTGTGCAAGAATCACAAATGAATAGCCAATCTCTCAGGCAAAATACAGAAAGTGTAATAAATTAGAACTGGCTGAGCTACAATAGGAAAAAAAATATAAATAAAAAACTGCCTCAATATGAATTGCTACACTTCCTGAATGTAAAGTATATCCAATCCTCTCCCTCTGCTATGAAAAGCATGCCCAATACACTGAGCAACATGTGTAGACGTCCCGAGTCAACGAGCATGCTTAGCTTGAGTAGACACCAAGAAGCAGGGTACCCAGATTTCGGACTGAGTCCTCAGCTATTCTGAACTCTAACCTGCAGTCTTCCTCATCAATTAAAGCTGACAACAATTAACTTGATGAGCATCACCTAACATCATCAGGCATCGATTCTACACAAATACCACTAACTGATTATTTGAGTCTATTTTCCTCTCAAATTATAGTTTAAAATAGTGCAATTGGTGCACACAACACAAATAAAAATGCTTTGAGATTTGGTCATTCTGAAGTACACATTTTCCTGTGCAATTTTAATAGACTGATGACCAATTCCTTAATGAGTCTTGAATATTCTGCCCAATTCAGGCTTTTTTTTCAAACACATGTCTCTGTGGGAACCGAAGTACTTAGCTTAGTCTCAAGAGCCACTTACATGCTCTCTCTTCTCTGCAGCCTTGTGTCATTGTGCCTCTCAATCAACTTACAGTTTCTGCTGTGCAGACACCCCTTTCCAGTAGTCAAGAATGTCGTGCAAATCCTCGTCCTTAGCAAATTGCACCTTCTTCCGAAGGGCGTGGCCAGCTGCTATGTAGGCCTCTTCACGAGGGCTTTTCTTGTAGGGTCGAAAGCGCTCCCAGATTTTCAAGGTGGTTTCGGAAGAATATTCTGGGCTGGACGAATATCCCGAGTAGTTGTGGTGGCGAGGCGATAGCTGGGAATAGGCAGCGTCCCTCTTGGTGCGAGAGAGGGGCTTTAGGAAGGAGGCCTTCTGGGCAGGGGAGTCGATGGCACCCTCATAGTAGAGAGCGGGGAAGGAGTGTCGGTGCTCTGAGCAGTGGTAGTCTGGGTGCACCTCCAGGAGGTGCTGTTGCGCCATCCCGCCTCCACCTGGAACCACAACACTGCATCCACCCGAACCACCACTGCCACCGCCGCCTCCCCCTCCTCCCCCGTTGCCACCTTCTCCCCTGCCGTTGCTACCCCCTTGTACACCCACTAGAGGGAGCCTCTCAAGGGGCTCCCCGCACCCAACAGGGCTGCCTTTCTCTGGGAACTTTGAGGAATCTGGACTCAGAGGCTCAGGAACATCCAGGCTGAAGACTCGAGCACTCTTCACTGATCCCCCGGAAGAGGCACCACAGCGATTCTTCATGTTGCTGAGGACAACAACAGCAGCATCAGCGCTCAGCTGCCGCTGCAAAGGCCTTGCGGCCGTGGCAGGGGGTGGGTCCCTGTAGGGGGGTGAAAGGAAACCACCTCCGCTGATGCCCGGTCTCTCAGACAGGGGCATGACAAGAGGAACAGGGGGTAGAGGGGGCATTTTGGGAGAGGACATTGCCTGGCATGTCTCTGTTATTGTTGGGGACAGAGGGATGAGTCCTCGGGCTGAGGAGGTTATGCACTGTGGGGGCGGAGAAGATGAGTTTTCAGTTGGGGTGGCGGCTGCTGCTGCTGCAACTGCTACAGAATCCAACTTTAGGGCATCGATGCAGTTATTGATGATCTGGTTGACTTTGTCCACCTCCTTCGCAATGGTAGAGATCTCTGAGGTTGAGCCTCGACCATCATCCTCAGAGTCCTCTCCTGCATCAATTCCATTTTCTTCCCTCACAATGTCCTCCCCTACTCCTGGTATAGCTCCATCCCTGGCCCGTTCTTCTCCACCTGCTGATGTGCGCACATCCATGTAGTTGCCCTTGCTGGTGGCCAAGGCCTCTGAAAAGGCTGTGGCCATCTTCTCGACCTGGGGAAGTGAGGACAGGCGAGAGGAGCTGGTGTTGGCAGAGCTGTGGAGCATTCCCATGCTTGAAGAAGTGGACTGTGGCATCTTGCTGTGATGGTGTTGGTGATGAACCTGTTCATGGAGTTTCTGCAAGGCTGAAGGGTCGTTGGCAGCTGCAGCTGCCGCCTCAGGCCCATAACGCATTTCCAAGATGGTCTTCTTCACGCTGATGGACTTCTCTTTCTCCTCCTGAATTCGACGCCTGCGTAGGCAGTAGTACACCAAGCCCAACACGATGACCATACCGAACAAACAGCCCAGGATGGTCATTATGTAGTGGGTGGTGGTAGAGGGGCCAGCACGCAGGTCATCGGGGCCTGGAGATCGTGTTGCAAATTGCAGGCAAGTGTGGTTGTAACGCTGTGAGTTACGAATCGAGGCTACGCAGAAGGTGTAATCTGTGTGGGGTTTTAGAGTTTTCAGTGTGACAAGCTCTTTCTTGTTCTTCAGGTTCATAACATCAGACACGTAAGTGTGGTTGTACTGCACCAGGATGTACATCTTGCTGTAAGGTCGAGGGATCTGCACCAGCAGCGAGGCTGAGGTGAGGGAAACTGACTGCAGCTTAATAGTAGGGCTGTATGATGGACCTGCCGTTGAAGATGCCGTGGGTGGATGATATGGCCCCATCTGGTCTGAAATATCTGGCCCTATCCCAGAGAAATCCACTTCAGGGGGCAAGGAGGTTATACCAGGAATAATCACCCCATCCTTGCACATGGATGACAAAATGGAGCGAGCATTGCGCCCATGACTGGAGACTGGACTTAGCAGAGGATAGCCAAAAAGTTCTCTTGGGGTTTCGCATTGCAGCCTATCATAGGTGTGGGTGACATTGTTGAAGGCTTCCAACCAGGTTAGGAAGCTGTAGAGCTCACAGCCACAGTGGAAAGGATTCCCAGCAAGCTCGCACACCATTAAACGTCCGAGAACCGTGAAGGTGGACGGGTCTAGTTTGGCCAGCTTATTGGAGGACAAATCGAGGCTGCTCAGACTGGGACACTCCCAGAAGGCATTGGTGGAAATGATCTCGATGAGGTTATGCTGCAGGAACAGGCACTGCATTCTGCCCAGGCCTCTCAGCATCCCTTCCGTAAGGTTCGTCAGCTTATTGTATCCCAGCTGAAGCACCTGCAAGTTGGCCTGTCCAGCAAAGGCCCCGTCCTCTATGTAAGATATCTCATTCTTGGTGAGGTTGAGGTCAGTGAGGTTGGTGAAGCGGCTCATGGAGCTGAAGAAGATAGCCTTGAGCTTGTTCTCGTTCAGGCGCAGGTCGTGCACCGTGTTGTTGATGTGCTGAGGGATAGTCTCATACGGTGGCTGGTTCTGGCTGCAGATAGCCAGCCATACATAGCCTTTATCCCCTTCAATAAGCCAACAGTCACCTCTCACTAATGAGGGTAGAGGGAGGAAAAGCAGGGGAAGGAAAAGGAGTGAGAGGGCAGAGGGAGAGGATTTAGGAAGGCTGAACCTGCTGCTGGCCATTTTTTGAGAGGCGTGAGGGTTGGATTTGCTTCAATTGAGAAGGGAAGGGAAAGAGATTAGAACCCAAAATAAGAAAAAATGGCCAGAGAGCGAAAAGGATTACTAAGACACAGTTTCAGGAAATGGGTGTCCCGAGGGCAATCACAGCTGTACCAGACACAAAGCTCCAAACATAGTCCCCATTTTAAGTGTTCCGCATTATAGGGTTACAGCATCGCTCTCCACTGCTGTGACTCATGGCCTCTGACCTTTTGACCTCACTCTTCTTGGAAAGTGGCCGGCAAATGGTGTGCAGGACCCGTTTAATCAGTCAACCAAGTCAACCACGGCACCTGTGAAAGAGAAACAGAGAGAAGAGAATTTAATGCTGCAGGCAGCATTTAAGGACGCCATACATCACATGAAATCTTTACTATATGAGGCAAACTTAGTTTGGTGTCCTTCATATTTTTATAGGTATAAAATCTTAGGAAAATTTTATATTTGTTCAAAATACTCTGGAGCATCAGCCCAAGCTTGTTTTTGAGAGGAGATTCAGCTTACAGCCCTCAAATCCCTTTCACAGGCAAAAGTCTATAAAATGCAAATGAAGTGTGCAATAAAACCAGCCTCTGTCTTTCCTGTTGTGTTTATGAGCCGACAACATTTGGTTATAAAATCTTATTTGCAGTCATGCCCTCTGAATTATCAACAAAAAAAAAAAAAACACCTGCTTTAGTCTGTCTATTAGCACCATGTTTTTTCTGGCTTGTTCAAAACCAGAAAACAGCCTGCAATTGTCACGTGAATTTACCTATCACACTAGTAAAACTGCAAACAGTATTTGCGGTAGACAATTATTGGTATTACTCAACGACTAAACATATAGTTCTACCATAATTCCATAAATCTTGTGGGATTATGCGAAGGCTTCTTCATGGATTAATCCTGGATTACCATAATTCAAACTGTGCTGTGTAACACTTTCTGTAAATCTTACCACCAGTTTGCTGGCTTAAGCAGCTCACATTCAAACTATCAAACTCCACTTGTTTGCCTGGTACAGTGATGGAACTCCTGTTGCTTGATTAAAGGAAAATTTGGAAAAATAACCTGTAAATCTAGCATCACTGTTGCAAACTGTGCAAATCACTGGGGGGGACACCCACAGTCGAGGTTACACCTCGAGGTGTTGAGGAAATGTTCTTCTGACACCACACTTAAGACTGATTTTCCTCTCTCTCACCATAAAACCCTCAATGTTAATGAAGCTAAGCTGCTAAAATTCATGAAATATCTTAACGGGACATTTTAGTCTAAAATTAGAGTTGTCGTCTTATTGTCAGGCAACATTGTATCCCTCAGCCTCATCAGTTAGTCAGAATTCATGATTAAATATTGTTTCCATATTTTCATTCATCAATCTAACCATTGAGAATCCCTGTGGTGTCAACCAATCGTGACTACTATCCTAGCCACTGATCTACAGCAGTGGCAACACTGGGCCTGGACCCACACAATTTTTCTCTTGGCCTGCTCATCAGGCTGGAAAAGGTTTCAAAACCATCTCTGAAGAGTTTGGACTCCACCAATCACAGTCAGACAGACTGTGTACAAAGGGAGGAAATTCAGGACCCTCGTTGTGAGTGGTCATCCAACAAAAATCACTCTAAGAGCAAAGAGTGTAAAAGTCTTTTAGGTCACAGAGGAACACAGGGTAACATCTAAGCAAATACATGCCTGTTTTACAGTGGCTAATGTTAACATTCATGAGTCCACCATCAGGAGAACACTGAACAACAATGATGTGCATGGCAAGGTTTGTGCAGTTTTCAGTTTGCAGATGGCTATTAGAACAATGTTTTGTGGACAGATGAGACCAAAATAGATCTTTTTGGGTACATGAGAAGCGTTCTGTTTGGAGAAAGGAAAACACTGCATTCTAGCATAAAAACCTTATACCATCTGTGAAACACGGTGGTGGTAGTATCATGGTTTGGGCCTGTTTTGCTTCATTTGGTCCAGGATGGCTTGCTGTCATTGATGGAACAATGAACTCTGAATTATACCAGCAAATTCTAAAGGAAAATTTCAGGACACAGACATCCTGTTTGTGAGCTGAAACTCAAGTGAACGTGGGTCATGCAGCAAAACAACGACCCTAAGCACACAAGTCGTTCACACCAGAGACCGAAAGCAAAGGTTCGCACACTTTTGCCACTCACAGAAATGTAATATTGGACATCTTCCTCAATAAATAAATGACCAAGTCTAATATTTTTGTCTCATTTATTTAATTTGGTTCTCTTTATCTACTATTAGAACTTAGTGTAAAAATGTGCACCACTGTATTTAACCTACCGAAAGCCCAGTATCACTATCGACCATAATTTTGAGGTTTATTTCTAAACTCCTGGGCCACCAACACACTCTGAAACTCCCAGCTACAGTTTTCAGAACTAAATCTAATCACTAAGCCCATGAGAAGTATGAGTTTATGGAGTCCTGCATTAGCAGTGATTCTCAGCACTTATACTCTCGGATTAGCAATGAAAGAACACTCATTTTGGTCATCACTGTGGACGTCAGTCGAACAAAAAAATGTGAAGTAAACAACCATTTATTCTTTATTCAACACAAAATGACCAGAGACGAGTTTCACCCTTTTAGCTTGTGTCCTCCTCATCTGAGATTCATTCCTGTGTCTGAGGAATCGATACTCTGCACTCTGATGATGATTTGAGGACAGTTATTTGGCTGCAGTAAACAAAAACAAACCACTAAAATCCACCTCAAAGCTGCTGTTCCTCCACCTTCGAGGTACATCAGCAGCAGAGGTGTAGCCCTTCTGGACACCCCAGTAATGGAAAAAAACATCAATACAACATCAGTTACATCTGCCATCAGGGTGGTTATCGTTCTGTTATAAGAGCATAACGACGCTGCAATTAATGATTAGCATCTCTTGCTGTGATTGGCTAATTTACTCAGTTAACAGGAGAGTGAATGTGCACTGTGCTGCTCTGAGCTACATTATGAAGTAGCTATTTGATGGTAATATGAGTTAATTATCAGAAATTAGTGAGCTATAATTGTTTATCATGCAAATTACTTTTTACAGTTGAACACATAAATGTGTTGTAGGTTCCCTTTTAATGTAGTTATGTTACAACTGAAGTTTGGGGGGAGGAACATGCCTGAAGCCCCTCCTTCTTCCAGTCTAACGCCCTATAAATTCACATCCTAACCTTCCGTTCCCGTGACGTAGGGTTTGCAATCCCCACCATGAGGGGGTCTGTCCTTTTAGCTACAGGCAGAAGCTGCCCAGAACTCCAGCCCGAGTTCTCAGAGTTCCCCCCCTCCCTCAATCAGTATCCGTCATACTACCACCACCATGTTGAAGACACGGTCTGAACTCACAGTCATTAGGCCGGATAGCCGGTAGAGACGGCAGCCTAAATCACTCATTTCTATGGCCTGTCTATATTTACTTGCAGGTTGTTTGTTTACTGTCTATTTTATGTTTATATATACTGTATATTTTTCTTTTTTTTCTATTCTCTGTTGATTTTACTCCAGAAAAAAATACCTTGTACACCTGTTACTTGACAAATAAAGATTCATATTCTGATATTTTTCTTAATGTTGAAAAAGTGGTTTAATTTAATTCGCTTGATTGAAATACATCACTTCCTCCTGAATGACTAAAATGCATTACATCAACACAGTACTGTCTATCAGTTTACATTCAGCAATAACCGTACTGATTTTATTTAATATGTGGAAATGATGGGCACACATAGTTCTGTACAGTAAAACACCATCTCATCACTTTCTATGTGATGTTAATACAGTACTGCTATCTTATTTAGCTTTTTTTCCTAGCAGTGCGCCACCCCGTTCTAAACGTTCCAGCTACGGCCTGATTGGAAGGTCTTTAGACTGGAAAATCTCACTCATTACTTTAGTATGCATCAACATGAGAAGCAGGCGCGCTAATTCACCACATGGTCACAGCGACAGCAAATGCACCTTCATGTATTGAATGTGATCAGCTTTGCCGGAATCCTCGCTCCATTCTCCTGAAATCCCTCTCGTGTAATTCCATATGACCAAGCTACTCACATATTGAGCGTCCCGGCGAATCTTTCCGGGATAAATTGCGGTTGCCCCCGGCAGCCATTCCAGGAATACATATGTGTGAGCCCATTCCACAGTGGTCGCTCCTCATTTCTAAAGCTTTCACACACTCGCGCGGCTCACGTCCTTCCAGGCGTCGGCCCGCGATTGAAATTGACAATTCAATTCCAGTCCTGAAGCCGATCAATTTGCGCTTGACCTCTCAACTCAGTCATAACTGGGAGATAGCCAGGCTCCTCAAGACCGATCTCCCTCAAGGCCTTCGGGTGCATGCGCCAACACCCCCCCCACCACCACCACCCCCACCCCCACCGCGGATACATAGCCGTCACGTCCAAGAGCGCGAACTCTATCTGAATAGCCTCTAAGGCTGTGTTCAAATGTAATCATCTTTCTCGCCTTGCTGTTCATAAAGAGAGCAGTGTTTAAATAGAATAGCTTCAGGAGGCCATTCTGCCGCGGCTCTATCTCTGCAGCGACGAACACAAAGAGCCTGGACGAGCCATCACAAAGGAGCGCACTTAAACATGTGTAGTGGGCTTATTTATCTGTATAAAAAGTAATCACACTGCCTACAATAGCGGCGAGTGCTCGATGATGTGAGTGGTAATCTGTGCACTGCAGTTCTTCCCTCATTTACAGCACTGTGCAACATCTTAGACACCTGAGAAAACTATGTTCAAAAAGCTGTTTATCTGGGCAGTAAGTGTTTGTTTGCTCAGAAAAATGCTAACATTTACAATAAACGTGCACATTTTGCCGCTGCTGGAACAAAACTTCATATCTCTGAAATGGTAACCTTACCGGAGAAGCTAAAACGTTCTTATCACGTAACGGACGTCAATGTAACGCTATTTTTTCACATCATTTTGGACCATTTC